GTATATTTAGGCTTACCCTTTACTTAACAGCTAGCTATTGCATTCCTACTTCCCGTACTTTAGCGAATCATGGCACGGCTCTTAGAATTTGTTAATTTGTTGGTTTCTTGGCGTCTCCTTAAAAGCTCAATTAGATGCTCCTTCCACAGATGCCTTGCACGAGCTGGCCTTCCAGAACAAAAGATATGTAGAATTCTATGGCATTTTTCTCAATGCTCTATATATCTATTGTCTTATCCTCTTCATCCTCCACTGCGTCCTTTAAAAAAAATGCCTAAACATTCTTCATCTTCTTCAGTGTAATGTAAAAGTGGTTGCAGGACAACTGCATGAGACAAATTTACTATAACATCTCATGAACTCGAAAGATAATTGGTTGTGAAAGATATCAGAAGAATGTGGTACTTTGGATCTTGATCCCATGGTGTCAAAGGGGTGATTCCAAAACCATCATCTTGAAATTGAGAGATGAAAGGTAAGTGACTGAGAGTCTGTCAATGAAATTATGATATTTTATATATAAAAAAAGTATTAAAAATAGCCTCAATACGTTATTAATCACTTTTTAGTTTTCAATCAAAATGTTAATTCTAGGATACGTGTAGGACTTTAAAGAAATATAAGAGTGGACTATTGCAGGTTAAAATGTTGTATCCTATTGATAGACAAGAATAACCATGAATCTTCTAATTTTGAGTCTTTATGTTAACAGAAGCTATTGTTCATCGGCAACTATATCCGTAGTCAAACAATATTTTGGAATTCTTTTCCAAAAAAAAAAAAATATTTTTTGGAATTAAATTGCTTGCAGAAAGCTATTTTGAAATATTCAACAAGTCTGTTTAATTAAATTGAGCCCATTAATGAACTTGCATCTTGTTTCAACATTCAAGTTTGGCTTACAATTATAAAGAATTAGCTCTCGATAAGTCGCATTCGCTTTAAAGAAAGTCCTTGTCAAAGTGGGCTTCCAACTCTAATTATCAAAATTAATTCTAGCCTCCAAAATTCTCATATCCAGCATATTATTTTTCTTTTCCAGGTAACATATATATAATTGAGTACTGATACAGTTGAATAGTTGGAGGGCGAAGAAACGATTATGGGCCTCACCATTATATATGTCCTTAGATTCCAGAATATCAATGCTGATGCTATAAATAGTCTCATAATATGATCTGGATTCAGTCCAAAATTTGTGGTCTCATTTAATTTGCATCACCCACTGTGCTGTTCAAAATCAGTGTTCAGAGTTCAGAGTCCATGAACACGTATTCTTGCGTGGAAACTAGCATGGTGCAAATCTTTTATTGTTTATTCACTTGTCATAATAGTTCTGATCATACAACATAGCCAACAATTACACAGAAATTTGTGAATCAACCAAGACAAGGAGCAAAGTTCAAGTTAACGGTGCAAGTTTCAATAAAAAAAAGCTAAGGATTAGGTTGCTTTTTACCAAGTTAAATGATTTCTGTTAAGTTCGAAAGGTCAGCTTGTAAAGGCTATAAACCACGATGTAGGACCAATTGTTACAAACTGCACTCCCCAAGCTCACAAGGGTTTATGTAATGAGCAGAAGACTCCTTCCCAGTTCCCACAAAGAGTATCATTTCTTGATGCCAGAACTTGTCACGCTAGCTCTTTAAGGTATTCTAATGTTTGATTTGAAAGAATTGACGCCACAAAGTTGCCTCTGAATTAAAGGCACGTTAAATAGTGGATGCTTTGGGTACTTTGTATTGTAGACATCAACTTTCAACCACTATATGATCTTTGACCTCATTTTCTTGGAGGAAACAATATTCTGAAAATTACTTTAAGAAAGAATGACACTTTATATGCATAAAGTCCATCATTTACATCTTTAAATCATCAACAATTTGGTAACAATCCAATCACACAAATGCTTTGGAACAAATCACAGTATATTAATAACCACCAAATTATTTGCCAGGGACAAAGTTTGTTGCATATGCCCAGGCATTGTTGTTCACTGGATCAGCAAGGTGATCAGCTAGGTTCTCCAAAGGTCCTTTTCCAGTTACAATAGCTTGAACAAAGAAACCAAACATGGAAAACATAGCCAACCTACCATTCTTGATTTCCTTGGCTTTAAGCTCAGCAAAAGCCTCAGGATCATCTGCCAATCCAAGAGGATCAAAGCTCCCTCCAGGATAAATAGGATGAGTCACCTCCCCAAGCGGTCCACCGGCAATTCTGTAGCCCTCCGCAGCCCCCATTAAGACGACTTGTGAAGCCCAGATGGCTAAAATACTCTGTGCATGAATTAAGCTTGGGTTACCTAAATAATCAAGCCCACCTTCACTGAAAATTTGTGAACCAGCTTTGAACCAAACTGCTTCTCCAAACTTGACACCATTTCTTGATAAAAGCTCAGGAAAAACACAACCAAGTGCTCCAAGCATAGCCCATCTTGAATGAATAACTTCTAACTCACGGTTCTTGGCAAATGTCTCGGGATCAGCTGAGAGGCCGGCTGTATCCCACCCGTAATCACCAGGGAATTCTCCGGTAAGGTAAGACGGCGGTGAGCCGGATAAGGGGCCTAAGTATAGAACTCTGTCTGGACCATACCACGGACTCCCTGATGATGGTTTTGGTTTTGCTACAGTTTTTCTCATGGTAACTCTTCCTTCACCAAGTCGCTCTGATGTTGATGGGGCGATTTTTACGGCTTTTCCTGCGAATGAAGGTGATGAAAGAGCCATTGTTGAGGCAGCCATGGTTGTTTTGAGGAAATGGTTTTGATCAGCGGTTGAATGTGGAAGAAACTATTATAATTTGTTGATGAGGACTTTCTTGAATGGAATATGATTTTATAGGTGTTGGAGAAGTGAAAAAGGTCGAAGGTCCTCATCCAATGCTATCTTTATCTTTTTTCCCATTGGTGAGAATAGGCTTTGGGATTTTCTTGTGTAGTCTTCTTCTCTCTTTTAGGCTTCAAACAATCTGTTATGATATACTACTAGATTTATTTACACTTTTTCCTTTTCTTGAAATTTTCAAGGATATTAGTTGCATTTATTCCAGCCAATAAAACTAGTCCACGTACTGAGTTGAGATGAAAGTATGGCTTTTTTTTTGGTTTTTTCCTCTTTTGAAGGATATTGTGAATACCCCATTGGATTATTTGTGTATATTGATTCAACTTGGTTGAGACATACACATGTTTTTTATCACATAGGGAAAAAAAAAGAGATGTGGGTATAAACCTCATCCCTCTAGCCGAAAATCGAAAACACAACAATAGCAAATTTATACATTTGCCACTACTACTTGCATTCATCTATTATCGAGAACTCAATGTAGAAAAGAAATGTACTATACACAATATGGCATTGAAAGTGATGCATTGAAAACAAAGGAGGAACTCAAATAACCTTCCAAAATCATCCTCAAGAAGAAGGCTTCCATTTCTTCCATGGCTTTAAACTTCAGCACTGTTCCTTTATACCAAAAACCCAATTCAATTATTGTTCCAAAATATAAGCCCTTTTTATGTTCATCTCCTTCACCTTCTTCTGCCATAGCTGCTGTATCTGAGAAAACAGGTGGTGGAGTTGCAGAGGAGGACCGTCCTGCTGTTTCTGGTACACTCTGTTGTTCTTGAATGTTTTTTCTTTACATTTCTTTCAACTAATCTAAATGAACTAGGAAATATGTCCATCTCATGACCGCAATTTTCTTGTTTCTTGGCAATTTTGCTGCCACTTTGAAGTAAGCCAGTTGTTATATTTTGCGTGTGTGTGTGTGTGTGTTTTCTTTCTTTCTTTTATTAAGAAGCCTCTTCATTATTTTGACTGGGAAATGTTGCTTCCTGATTAACGAGCCTGAGCTACTGCATATTCCAGTCCATTTTTGTTACAAAAGAAAGCTCTAGTTTTTGTTTAACTATTGATTGACATAGTTTAGCTGACTGATTACTTCCACTTTTCTCAAAGGGTCCTCTTCTACTCGGATGCAACTGGATCTCTTGGAGCAACTCACTGGTGGCTCACCCGTTGATGGTACTTCAACTCAAATTACAATCTCAACTCCAGAAACATGAACATAGATTATTGAATACTACTACATTACATTTTATATCTGTAACGACATTTGCTGTAGGTTATGAGAGTGATGGGAGCTCCCCTGGACTAACAATTCGGGATCAGCTTGCTAATTTGGTTGGAGAGAGAGATGACGATTTTATCGTTCCACTTGGAAAAAATCTGAAAAAGGTTAGCCCAAAGTTCTTAACTATTTCACAGAAGAGGAACATCAAAAGACAGGCTTACCTGGATGAAGTATCTCAGAGGAATGATTCAGTTTTCTTTGCTACAATTGGAGCATTTGTAATCCTTCCACCTGTTATTATCTTAGGAATTGCTGTAGCAACTGGCTATGTCCAGCTTTTCCATGACATATAAATGTATGGTATGTTGAAAAATCACTCTCAACACTAGCATGATGAAGTAGGCAATGCTGCAAAATGTTCTGAAAGATCTTCTGTTATAATTGGCATTCACCAAAACAGTTGCGTCCTTATTCTAAACCTCTACAAGAATAGATGATTGTCTTTACACGTGAATCTTTGGCATCTTACATCTTCATGGCTCAATTGTCTACGTGTACTTAAATATATGGCTTATCCAGATTGTAATTGCATATGAGTACAATATGAAAAGAATATTTGTGTTGTTGCACCATTTTTTAATCGTAGCAATATCTAAAACTGATTGGCACTTGGTTCGTCCTGATCTTTTTCCTTCCTTCCTCTGTTTCTTCCTTTGTAATTATAGTTTCCATAAAGGTCTGAACTTGGTTTTTAGGGTGATAATGTGCTGGTGCATATAAGTTCTCGTGTAAGATGCTTGTCTTGATTGTTAAGTTGTTTGCCAAAAGCATCGAATCGCATAGCTGCGATTACTTGGCATCTTACGTCAGTCTGCTGTGTAATCCACTGGTCATCTAAGATTGAATGTGCTATAGTAATCTAACTACACTCAAACATCAAACTGTTCCTTGTTTTGCAACCGAAGTGTACATGTTTGTGGGAAATACATGATATTGGAAGTCTGGCCGCATAAACTGAGGGAGCAAATGACGCCTTAGATGTATAAAGTGCAAACCAACGAATACTCCGCTTTTCTAGCGGCGTCAAGCTATCACACTGGAGTTCAAAATGAAGAATGGTTAGAAAGAAATCCCATGTCAGTAGAAGTAAGCTTTTTCCTAGATTCTTCTGTCAACAAGGCTCTTCTGCTGTTTCCTTCTGCTTATGTGTTGGTGAAATCTCTTGTTCGGTAGGTTGTACAGGCTCATTGCCTAAAATTACTCCCTGTTTCTGAATGTACTCCCATTTTTCTTGGAAAAGATAGAGTAAGGCGATAATACAGATTTCCGCTGTGAAAAGAATGGTCCAGATTCGTGCACTTCTTGAAGTTTTCTTACCATAAGCTTGTAAACCAGTGTATATATTGATGATTCCCAGCACAGAAACTGCAGTCCCTAGTAACCAGTGAACAAAAAACCATCCACTCCTTGCGTTGCTGCCTCTGAAAAAAAACATGGTAAATGCACTCAGAAACTAAATGTCCCTAATCAATTGCATCTCTGAAAATTAAAAAAATATATGTATAATTTCTATGGTGGACATATCACATGCTTTACCTATGTGGTCGTATTATACCAACCAACATTTGCAGCCAGACAAGACCGTAAAGCGCTAATCCCAACCTTTGATGATCATTGTTGAAAGCGTTCTCAAAGTTTATAAAGGACATTATTGCTCCAGCTGTCAAAAGGAGAACTGACAGTATCTGCAGAACAGAAATATTATCTGTTAGATGATGATGAAGGATAGCTTGTAATTCATACCATTGTATGAATAACCTGGGTCTATTGATCTGGAACAACATAAACATGCTAACGTTTTATGTTAATCAGGAAATTCCTGAACTTAGCGTATTAACTGTGTGCAATGTATACGTGTGTATTACAGCTTATGCCAATTAAGAAACCTAAAAAGTTCTTTATGGCTTTTAAACAACAGAATTTTCATAATTGCCTTTTCTTCGTCTCCAAGTATCCATTATGAATAACAAAAAACATCTTTCCGGATTAAGAAATATGAACTAAGTAATTATTATCAACAGACGGTGGGTAAGATTAATTATTTGCAACATGGGAATCATTACTCCTTTTTCTTGAACCATCATGAACCAAGAAAATCAATCTCACCAAGAAAATTTTCTAGCAGACAATGTTTAACATAATTATAGTTGTCATGCAATTATCTGGAGGATAGCAGTTAATATTGAAGTGAAGAATGGCAATCAAAAGTTAACTGTAACTGAAAACAACCAACTTTGACTTGCCTGTAAAACACCATGAATGTAGAGTAAGATTTTTAGCCGTCTTCCACATTCCTCTCTGTTTGACTTCCTCATTACAAGTATTCCAACAGGCACCAAGAAACCCATGGAAGCCCATAACAGAAATCCGTGGATCGCAATCTCAGATGATAGTTTAGCAGTCATCTAATTGATAAGGAAAAGTTTTACCGTAAATTTCTTCAAAAAAGGATTACTTTATACATGAATTCCTTATCGAAATGATCTAAATATTAATGAATCCAAACCTAGAATTAGAACACCTGATATGCCATGCATGAAAATGAATTACCTGTGTTTTGTTTTTGCCGCTTGAATGAGTATTGCCTGTTTTTATATGGACGATAGACGAGCACACAACTAATGGAAGTTGAGTAAGAACAGCCAGGGGCAAGCTCCTCTGCTTGTAAAGCATGATCAAACCCTTCAAGGACCAATACTGCTTGTCTTGTGTTTTGAGGCTTCAAATTACCAGTAAAAGCTGCAATTTAATTTTGACTCTTGAATTATAGAGAGAGCAGCGGCCACAGAACTTGTTCTCTTAAATACATATATTCTCCTAGGCAGGCTCAACTACATTGCTTTTTCCACCACTGCAATGCCCATCTTTATGACAACTAGTTTATTTGCTGTTGTATAGAGAACATTAGGGGAAGTTGAGCATTAATCTTCTCGGAGGAGCATCTCCTCTTTCTGTCTAAAGAAGCTAAAGCTGGACCTCTGTGAATCAACTATTTTATGCACATTCCTTTTGAAATCCACCGGCAAGACTTTTTATAGCCAAAGAAGCAAGAAATGGTTGTTTGGACATTGGCTGTTGTTTCAACCTGGTGGGACCACTTTAACAGGCTTTTTCATTTGATGGGAAGAATATTTGATTACAAAGTAGAAGAATGTCAGTAGTATGTCAAAACTGAAAAGAAGATGACTCAGTAGTCGACAGAAAGTAATACAAAATATTATCCTTTACGAGTCCAACGTCCAGAGATCACTACAGAAGGTGTTAAACTTTTGTCTTCCTTAATGCTCGAACAGACTGGGGATGTGTATACCATCCCTTTGTGGGATTTTAGCCTCTGCTGGAATGAACGCTACTTTTGACCAAATATCTTCCAATTAGACAGACAACTTTTCTTGAAAATCAACACGTCTTCATAAACTTGCTCCCGGTTTCTGATTTGCATCCTATTTTATGTTCTTTTCTTGAAGTTCTGTTGTGGAAGTCGATAATGTGGAGAGGCTTTATGGCATAATCAGGCATAATTGTTGATGTAGTACAGATTAGATTGTTTCTGCTGTACTTTAAATCAGTGGCATAATATGATTACTTCCGAGGCATCTCGCAGTTCAAAGACACCAGCAAATAAGCTAATCTAAAGTTCTGTACTTAAATCATTATAACCACCATAATGGATAACTATAGAGGTATTTAAGTTAGATTTTCAGCTCATAAAATAGGTAAGAAGTACCATCTTAGAATCATTATGTGGTTCTTACAACTTTGCATATCATGTATTCGTAATCAACTGATCAGGTTACTGAAATTGATTTGACACAGCACCCCCTCTTGAAAAGGTACGTGGCCCGGAAAAGCTATGGCTACTACAGCACAGAGAGCATGAAGAGAATGGTTGAGCATGATAATTTAGCTCTTTGCAACTTTTTTCTTGGGGGGGGGGGGGACCTCCATTATCAAGCACTGGATTTGATTCTTGGATGCCATGATAACAATTTGGAGCCTACGTTGTTGATGCATCTGTTTGCCTTTATGTTTCACGTGGTCCAGATCCAACAATGCACTAATTGATCTTCCAATGCATGGTTTATACAATCCAACGACGTACCTGAGGAGTGAATTGTCTCCATCGAAGTGATTCAGCAGCATTACAGGGAGGAACCAGTTTCCTTGAATGTCTTATATTAGAAGAAGTGCAACAATTTTGAAATTTACCCTTCAGCTCCTCTATAGCAACAAGCTCGTGATGGTTGGTGAAGACTGAAAAGAGTGATGAGACTAGAAAATTTGCAGCGGTAATAATAACAGTAGTAACAACAAATAATGATTGTAATAGCTAATCATGATGACAGAAACAGGACCATGCATGAACAAACCAAACCCTGGTATGCATGCTCTTGTTAACTGTCAATTGATTGATGTTTTCTCGTATGCATGGTGAGTAAGTATACACATCAATTATTCAAATAAGCCTTTTCCTTTTTTCTTCTTTGTTTTTGCCTTTTTCCACAAAATATTTGAACGCCAAATTGTTAAGCACCATCAAGAAAAAAGTCTCTGGTGCCCAAAGCTGATTAGCATTGTTCATATTCCCTTTTTCTACCACCCGACACATTCCTCGCCAGACGACTCATATTTGATGGAAATCAAACTAACTAGAGCTTTCTTACTATGACTGCACGTAGTTGAACAAACTATCGGATTACAACTACAAAATCAAGATGCAAAAATGTGGTAATATATATGTAGGAAGAGGAGCGTGATCTTAACCAAATTGGAGGAACCTGCGAAGGCTTCAACTTTTGGAGTAGGTGTCACGTAAGGGTCGGAAGCAGCGGCGCATGGTTTAGACTTGAGACCGCACACATGAGCTAATAATTTCATCTTTTGCAAGAAGGGGATGGATCTGTTAAAATTCGATCCCACCACTACTTTCTTCGGTCAAAAAACTTAATTAATAATAAAATTTCTTCCACTGGAATTATGAAAACTTAGGTCCCATTTCGATTGCTATTTTTTAGAGATTTTATCAACAAAAAAAAATTATTATACCGATTTGATATATATGAAGTAAATGATGATGAATGAAAAACGTATTCACGACAAAGTTAAAAATTTTTCTACGAAAAAACTACAATCTAAACATCAACTTAACGAAGAATTAGGACCCACGTGTTCAGCTAACTTTTTTTTTCTCCTTTTATATGTATTAAAAAATGTTTTCAGATAAATCTTAAGAGGAACGGCAATTCCAGACCAAAAATAATACCTTCTTTTTTTAAAATAAAAATAATGCCTTCAAACATGGAAATTTTTTTGTTGAATTTTATAAATCAGCCGTTGGTATATTATTTAAAAAATTATACGTTTAATCACTTTTTACTTTTAAGTACTTTTTTTTATTTTACATATATCATACGAACAAAAAATAAAAAAAAAAGAAAAAAATGCACCCGTGGCCATTACCAATTGGTCCAATTCAAGGGGAACTTCGGCTCAAGGAATTTTATCATGCAGTACATTCTTTCTTTTCCTTCCTGGAGGACAAAATTAAGACAAAATTTTACTCCCCGACCCGTAGTTTTTACTATATTCTTTTAGAACCCCCGATTTTTCTTGAACTTTCTTTTCCTGTTTTTTTGTCCTTCTCTTTCCTACAGCACTCTCCAGTCTATCAAATTTCTCAGCGATCACATCTACTAAATTTCCGACCTTGACTGATCGCCGGCCACTGGTAACCACCGCAATCATGGCCGCAGTCTCAGTGGCGGCGGAATGGCAGCTCCTCTACAACCGCTACTACCGGAAACCCGAACTGTACCAAATGCAATGGAAGCATGTGGACCTCACGCGGAACAAGGTCGCCTGCGCACCCTTCGGCGGTCCTATCGCAGCTATCCGCGACGACGCCAAAATCGTCCAGCTCTACTCCGAATCCGCCCTCCGGAAACTCCGTATCTTCAACTCTGCCGGCGTCCAGATCTCCGAAACTGTCTGGAGAAACGCCGGCGGACGGTTAATTGGCATGGCGTGGTCCGACGACTTAAAATTAATTTGCATAACCCAAGATGGCACCGTTTATTGCTACTCCTTCCACGCTGAGCTCATCAAGACCCTATCCCTTGGTCAAGACGGATTAAAACACAGCATTGTGGAGTGCGTTTTCTGGGGAAACGGCGTCGTATGCATCAATGAAGCCGTCGAGCTCTACTGCATACCCGATTTTAATAATCCGAGCCCAATAAGGCTGGCGGATACGGGTTTGGAAGATATGCCGTTGTGTATGGCCGTGATCGAGCCACAATATACGATGTCGGGAAATGTGGAGGTTTTGTTAGGGGTTTCGGATTCTGTGATGGTTGTAGAGGAAGATGGGGTGCAGCAGACTGGCGCCGAAATTGGGCCAATTCAGAAAATGGTGGTTTCCAGAAATGGAAAGCTTATAGCTTCCTTCACTCATGATGGAAGGCTTCTTGTACTCTCCTCGGATTTTTCCAACATTATTTTCGAGTACACTTGTGAGGTAAGGCTGTCTAGCCTGCTGCTTACATGATTATTTGTTTTTTTTTTCGCTGTATTGCCAATTAAACGTTCGATCGGAAAAATGTTGAATTGGAAATATTTTTTGTTGTTTGTAGTCAGCATTGCCTCCTGAGCAGTTAGCTTGGTGTGGAATGGATAGCGTGTTGCTTTACTGGGATGATATGCTTTTGATGGTTGGTCCTTATGGAGATCCAGTTCGCCACCTTTATGATGAACCGATTGTGCTTATTCCGGAATGTGATGGTGTGAGGATACTTTCCAATACTAATATGGAGTTCCTGCAACGTGTTCCGGATTCTACTGTATCCATTTTTCAAATCGGTAGTACACAGCCTGCTGCTTTACTATATGATGCCTTGGATCACTTTGACCGCCGAAGTGCTAAGGTGAGGGTCTCCTTTGTCAGAGTTTCTCAACGTGTGTTCATGTGTTCTAGATATATAAGGCTGAAAAGATTTTACAGTAGTAGGTTTGTCTTAAGGATCTGTTTGCTGTTAGGTAAACAGGGAAATATGTGAGGAACGTAGCTGGATCACTTTTCCTGTTTGTATATCTAATTTTGAGTATCATACGCATCATTGAAGAAAGAAAATGTTCTAATGGAAAAGAAGAGTTTTTTCAACCCTTTTGTTTATATGCATGGTTTTGGTGATTAGACTGTAATTTGATCCTCCTTCATTTGGGAAGTTATGCGGCTATATGGTGTTTTCCTAGGAGCCGCTTCAAGAATAATATTATGTTTTGTGAAATCATTTTCTGCAAAGGCACCTATTGCTAAGTGGCTTAAACTGCTTACTAATCGAGAATTGATCATTAAATGGCAACTATCCTACTGCTGATTAGCAAGGCGTCTGCTTTTGAGGATAAAGAAGAAATGAGGCTACTTTGGTACCCTGCTTCAGTTGTTTCATAGTTTCCTGCTGGTCTCCTCTTCTCATTTCTCTGCCTTTGCTTACTTTCACTATAGTTAGCAATTTTCGGATAATGTTCTTTTAGTAAGTAGAGCCTAGACACACCGCAAATGCTCCATAAATTGGAAATGTATTGTTACGGCAGTAGAAGACTAGAAGTCGATCTGTATTTGTGTTCTATACTTGGATAGAATATTTTCATTATACACGTGTCTTAGAGTGCTGTTGCTTCTTTGTAAATGCCTTGTTAGTTTATTAACAATTTTCAGAGACTTGTACAGCTAAATGTCTTCTCTTCATGAATACACACAGTATTTTCCATGTCCTTGCATCATGAGAGCGTTGTTTTCTCAGTTTTGTGCTAAATCTTCGAGCAATATGTGTTCATCAGATGTTCCAGTGCAAGAATGGAATACTATGGTATTGTAACAGTATAATTTTGTTATCCATACAAAGAAATCTCAACAATGAAATTTTCTTCCAGGCAGATGAAAATTTGAGACTTATTCGCTCTTCGTTGCCTGGGGCTGTTGAAGCTTGTATAGATGCTGCAAGTCATGAATTTGATATT